TCCAGGACTTGAACCATGTGGGAGTCCAATGCCTTAACCACTACGCCACCTACTGACCCCAGGAGCACTGTTTTTAATCGTCACAGAGATAGCAAAAGGAGTGATGGCAGCTCTGGCTGAAGAATCGTTTCTTTGCCAGGTCTGTTGTATCAGTCAGCTGCGAGTCACGGAACACATGGCAAACAGTGGCATAAGTAATGAATGCATTTTTCTGGCGATAGATGGTTCTAGGCTTGGGAAGTGGCTCCATGGTGCTAGAAGATCAGTTGTTCTTCACACTCTGACATCCTCAGTCTTTTTTTGTTTATTTATTTGCTATAGGATGTGGGTGCTTGCCAGAGATAGAGAGAGATCAAAAGAAGGCAAGTAAAACATCACCCCTGGGGGAATGACCACACCGCTATGCCATCTCAACTCTCCTCTCAGGATTTTAGGCACCTACATATATGAGCCCAGTGTGTTTTTCAAACTGCAGGGTCCAGGACTCTCACAGTGCAATAGGCCGTAACCAGGCCTTAACCTCGACACCACCTGCTGGCCTTGATACCCTCAGCCTTGAATGTTCAGGTCGTCATAACAGAATTGCTGCGGCAGCTCCAAGATCACATCCTCATACAAGTGTATTGGACTCCCATCCATTTTTATCAGGAATAAAAATCATTCCCAGAAATAAACCCTTCCTCCCACTCCAGCGGACTGCCTCTCCTATATCATTGTCCAGAACGGGGTCACATAGCTACCCCGGTTTCAGAGACAGCTGGGAATGACAGCTTCAACGGGAAGAAGAGTGTCTACCACACCCATGAAAGAAATGCCTTTTCTACGTTCTGTCTCAAAGGCCACCTTCAAGTCACCTGAGCGAAAAGCATCACAACTACCTTTCTATGACTCCGACATTTGTTCTTTAAGTAACTTTGTATCTGTATTCACATCTCACCTTTCAGACTAACTGAAAAAAGATAAGTCTGAGTTAGTTTAATATATATTTTTAAAAAGGATAGAGTAATTTTAGGAACTTGCATGCCTACCACTTTTAACTGCAGCTTATCAGTGAAGACTGGGCTCTGTAGGGAAGACCAGGAACTAATCTTTAATGAGGGAAGCTTTAATGAATAAACACTAATCTCCTGGGATAATTACAGTCTTTGCATACAAATATATCCACCAGGCTTCTTAAGCTGTTTTTCCCTCTGAATTCTATCCCCTCACCAAACCGCTGACCTTCCCTAACCTTGTTGAAGATCTGTGCCTAGGGTAGAAGGGAAGTTAGTCAAGAGAGCAACTAAAGGAAATTTAGGGAAATTAACTCAATATTAACTTCTTTTTCCTTCCTTCCTTCTTCTTCTTCTTTGTTTTTGCTATAAGGCATGTGAACTTGCCAGAGAGAGACAGAGAGGAAAAGAGAGAAATCACCCCCTGGGAGGATGGCTATGCTGCAATCCCATCTCCTCCATTCTCCTCTTGGGATTCTGAGCACGCAGGCACACACACCTGGCATGGTGTGTTTCAAAGTGGCCGGGTCTGGAACTCAAACTGTGCAGCTGGCCATGTGGGATTCAGCACCTTAACCTCCATGACATCTACTGAGCCCTTGTATTCTCCTTTTTAAAATAAATTTGCTGGGGACCAGCAGGTGGCATGGTGGTTTAAGGCTCTGGATGCTCCTACATGGCTGACCACAGTTTGAGTCTTGGACCTGGTGGCTTGCTTTCTCATTTCCTCTCTCTCTCTCTGTCTCTCCAGTCAAATTAAAATGAATGAATGAATATATGAAATTAAGTAAAAAAAAAAAAATTGCTACAGGGCTCAGGTACTACCCAGAGAGACAGACGGAGAAAAAGTGGTGTAAAATGAGAAATCACCCCCTAAGGGGGGATAGCCACATGGAAATTTCTTCACCTCCATTCTTCTCTCAGGATTTTAGGCACACTTGCACATGAGCCTAGTATGTTTTTCAAGCTGCCAGGTCTGGGATTCGAACTGCATTGTCTGCCATGATGGACCTAGCTTCCTTAACCACCATGTCACTGACTGGTTCTGCACTTTTTTTTTTCTCTCTCTTAAGAAAAAAGGCTCAGCCTTGTGGTGCAGTTGTAGCAATGTAAACGACAGTGCTGGAAGCCAGATGGCTGACCGTGGGTGTGGATCCCTGGGTCAGCCTGAGAACATGCAGGGCATACGCATGTGTGTCTAAGACCCTCATGAGCGGAGGCTGCATGAAGGGGCTCTCAGGGTGAAGAGACCCTAGCAAGGGTGTGTCTCTCTTTCTCCCTCTCTCTAGTGCATGTGCACATGCTCTGTCATGAATATAAATGAACTTTAAGAAAAGTATATGTGCCTGAACATTTGCGTGTACTCTAAATTTTCCAAAATGCCAAAGCACGGATATCTACTCAGAATGCGTGGCAGTTAGAGAAATCCTATTTGTGATTCTTTACCTAGTACAAAAACCACCAATAAGTCACATAGCTGCTCCTCAGAGATCTCCTGCATAAACATAGATTCGCATACACAAAGTCTGACTAAACTGCGGTGTGCTTGTCTACGTGTTCTTCCTTAGTTGTTTTATGTATTATTTTCAATTATACCCGTATTTCCCACAACATTTCCAGGTAAGCTCTTGTCTTTATGCATATCAACAAGATCTCATTGAAAGACCTGGAGCAAGACATTTCCACCCTCACACACATGCACACACACACACATGCCTTCACACACGTGCACATGCCTCCCCATACATGCACATGAACATGCCTCCACACACGCACATGCCTTCCCATACACACATGCACATGCCTTCACACACACACACATGCCTCCACACACACTATACGAACAAATGACACACCCCACTTTATATTCAGAAAAACTTTATCTTACCCAAATGTGCCTTTTTCCTTTGTGGACCTTTTTTTTGAGAGAGAGAATTTTTGCTATAGGGTGTGTGCGCTCATTGGAGAGACAGAAAGCTAGAAATTACCACCCCCACAAGGATAGCCATGCTGCCATCCCTTCTCCTCCTAAGATTTTGGGATGCACAAACACGTGCCTGTAGTGAATTTCAAGCCTCTGGTCTGGGACTCGAACCACATCAGGCATGTGGTAGTCCAGCACCTTAACCACTACACTACCTGCTGGCTCCTCAGTGGAGCTTTTAGGAAAAGGTATGAGGGAGCTTCATTCTTGCCCCTCTGAACCCTGTTTCTGAGACTGATCTATCTGATCTGGGTCATTCTCCTGTGAAAAACACTTCCTTTTATTTTCAGTGTCCTGGATTTGCTAAGGAGCGCAATCGTGAGAGAATAGAGAACAGCGGGTCAGAATCAGCCGCTGAGGAAATTACCCATTATGTTACGGAATTGCCTCCTTTTTGGTAACATTATTTCACTTTAATTCACATTGTAGCCCCTGCACTTTTCCCAGAGAGGCTGAGCAAGCAAAAGGTCCCGTGGTTCCTAATTGTACAAACCTTGAATGTTTTGCAGTACTCCTTCAGTGCCATTGGCATGAGGAAATGATCCTCTACTGTGCATTAATGACACCTTCTCTGTGCAATGAATATGCTCGAGTCATCTTGGAAACCACTTCAGCTCATACCCTTTAGGGCCTGGAAGATTTTTAACGCATGCATATCACAGCAGGCCTGCCCTTAGCTTCTGCCAGGAAGTCTTGCTGGAGAGAGATGTGTACAGCCGGAGCCTCCAACCAAAGGGCCAGGGAGGCCTCGGCTGAGAGGAGGCCAGTGTTCGTGGACAATGCGGGCGCCTTCCCTACCCGCCAACACACAGTCCCCAGTCTGCGACTCTGACCAGCAGTCGCTTCTGGAGATGCTGGGCCAGAAATGTCACTGGGCTGCAAAGTGCGTGACACAGCCATGCTTTCTGTCCTCATCCAGGCTACCTGTGATGAAGGGAACAGGTGGAGACGCTTACGTCATTCATGTCCTGCAGTGGAGACAGGCAGGTGTGTGCTTAGTCCGCAGTGTTTCTTCAGAAAGGCAACCCGGGGCTTATAATAGGAATGGGCCCTGGTCTCGGACAGACTGGCCCACATCCCGACTACTACATGCAGTGATTGAAGAGCGTTGAGCAAATGATTGACTTCTCTCATTTGGAATAACAACCCCTGCCAACCTCCAAATCTCTCCACCATGTGCCCAGGTTTGTAAAAAGTCAGGAAGCACTGGGGCAGCAGGTTAAGGCAACAGGCCTCCCACATGGCTGACCACAGTTCAAGTCCTGGACCTGGCGACTTGCTTTC